GGCTGCAGACTACAGCCCTGGGGCATCTTCTTGACATTGCCAGAAAATTTTTAACTAATTAGCTTCCCTCCATGCTGGGTGCTCCAGTTAGCAAAGTTCCTGGGAGGAGAAACAGAACAGTTCAGCCTTATTCAATGTAGGTTTTAATCTTGAAGTTCGGGAATTGGGGAGATTTAGTCATTTATTTTTGAGCTCATGGAAAGAAGGGGTTGATAGCAACAGCTTACCCCAGTTAGCAGGCAGGATCCCCACACAGCTGTGCTGGACTATTTCAACTAGGATCCTTTAGGACTTACATCACCTCTGGTATGCCAGTCCTAAGCCGCTCATGAGCCAGTACTGCCAATCAAGCCAAAATCCAACCACATGGTATGGTTTTTATGATGTAGACAGAAAATGACATGAACTTGTCTCATTCTGGTGAAAACGCAAAGTTTGAAGCCAGCTCTCTAGAAGAAGAAAATTAGTAACAACAGCAAGACTGTAAAACTTGATTTAGACACATTTTCCTGTGATTATCTCAACACACTTAACCAGTAAGTTATTCATGGAGATTCAAGGAATGCTCTCACTCAAGAAAAGTCTCTGGTCCTCATCCTATGAAGAGGTCACTTCTGGGTCACTCTACTCATGAAACCAAAGAAACAATAGAATATACTTACTGAGGGAAGGACAGAATGAAACTTAAACAATTGGACCTGAGAAAGTATCATTCCTGGAACCTAAAAGATACACACATTAAAAGCAGAGCTATCACTTGTCCAAAGAAACTTGACTATATATATAAAATTAGGAAATAGTGAAAATGTGAAGGATTAGAGAACCATGAGAAAGTCTCTGTAAGCTGTTTTCTCTCTTAAATTAGTTCACAAATGGTTTTGATGACTGTACCTACAAAGCACTCCATTAGGTGCTGCAGAACATGCAGAAGTTCACAGGCCACTGTATTTTTCCTGGAAGAGTTTAAAATTATATTTTGATTAAACCGCAATAAAGAGGAGAACCAAAGCACCAGACCATGCCTCATCGTAACATAATACCTGTGCAAAATGCACCAAAATTAACTGAGTGAAAAAAATGAGTATCTTGTACAGGAGTAAATCACACTTGACTGATAAAAATTGTGCAAACTCTGACTTTGATTTTGTTATTATGATATAAGAGTAAACTTTGAGCAGCTTCTACATTTGAGTATTAGCCTATCCCAAGGTGCACTAGAGGATTGTTTCCACTTTAGCATTCAAATAAATGCACAAACATGCTCATTCATTCATTTATTCTCTTTCTCTCCAAACTCTTCAATACCCATTTAATCTTTCAAGTAAAAACTTTCCTGCTGTAACAGGATTCTCCTGTAGTTCACTAGTGACCACTATTGGACATTCTTCCCTTAACTTATGTGAAGCGACAGAACTGGTACACATAAGAATAATAACAGGGGCCAGAAAGTGGTCCTGAACAGACTGAAACACTAAAAACAGGAGCCTGAAAAAACAAAACTGTAGCTGACCATGTCTAGACAAGAAACTTCACAAAATCACGAAGAAAATAATTTTTAAATAAATGCCTCACTATGTTCTTCAGATTTATGGCAAAAGTCCTTAAGCTTGACTTAAAGACAATCTAGGTATGAGAATAAGAAATAGACATAGTGTGAACAGTTATAATAAGGTGCTTGTGCATGCACACAAACACATACACACGCACAGTTGGAACTGGCCACGATCTGCTGTAAATCAGGGATTTAACATTCATTCCACAAGCTAATGGAGCTTCTCGCCATCCAAGATAGATCCACTTAGATAATAGTAGAAGAGAGTGCCAGCGGGACTGAAGGGAATGGGCTATTGTGTTTGACTAGTTTCCATGTATAAATTAGTGCAGAGAAGAAAAAGAAATTCAACAGAAAAACACATGTACTTTATTATAATTCCTAGTGTTACTCTTGCAACTCTCACAATAGCAGGCCAAAGAGCTTAAAACCACTTAAAAGAAACAAAAAGCAAATGCAAATTTGGTTAAATGCCTTTCTGACAAGAAGTGATTTGACTTCAAGTATAGATGGACACACATGTCAATGGCCAGTCATGGTTTTTGCCACATTCCTTTTGAGCTAAACAATTGGGACAAAGGAGGGAGAATGAAAAGGGGGAGCAGGGTGAGAAGATGGGGAAAGTTGTGTTATGTGGCTTAATTTGACCTGAATATCAAGATGAAATCTCTTGCTTGATCAGTACTATTGTGTCCAGAGTGAAAAAGAAGTCTACGATGTATGCACTGTGCATGGGGATATGGGTGGTAACCTAAAACAGACACAGAAGACACAGGGATCCCATTCTCTCAGGAATAGTGTTCCAAGGGGAAAGGATTGTGACAAAACTAAATCTGAACAACATTCAATATTTGTCCACACCCATGAACCAAGTCAGTATACAGATGATTCAGCTGTCGATGAAACAAAAGCTATTCTGAAGAGGTAGAAACTGGGCTTGCCACTAAACAGACAGGATGATTTCCAATGAAGTTAAAGAGACCTTTAGAAATTGCTTAAATTAATTCCATGAATAGACAGAATCTTGTAATGTGTAAGAGAGTTATAGAGAACACAAGCCCCCCACCCCAATTCAATTTCTCTATCAAGCCTGAGCTGACAATGTCACGCTACTAGTTCTAAGTCAACTACAGATCAAGCTAAAGGTCACTTTCTATTTAGCCAATAATTTAATCATGGCTACAAAGCTAAAAGGAGCAGTTGATGAGTAATTATAACAACTACGCATCATTTTGCATACATCTTTAATGGCCAGGATGATGCAAAAAGCCTACATATTTCCAACAGAGTACAGACCAGCCCACACCATTGCTTCCATCACTGCTGAACATTTTATAACCATGGTACAAAGCAAACCAAGTTATGTTCTCTCCACTGTTTGACCTCTGGGTTCAAATATGTATAAGATTGTTTCTTTATCTGTAAAATAAGTTCAAAAATGCCTTCTCTACACAGTTATGGTGAGGATTCATTGTAATGATTTTCAAAAAACAAGCCTAGTGTTTGGCACATTCAGACACACAATGCATTTGAGCTATTACTAATGCCATTACTGCCCTGCACGGGATGTATGTAGGCACTTACCAGTCAGTTCTTTCTTTTCTAGCATAACTCTCAGATTCCAAATTCATTTAAATGCAGGCAGAAAACAAACCTGGATTTGATTTCATTTTATCTTCCTAATACAATTATTGTAATTTAAACGTAATATGTGCTAAGTCCTTCTGAAATAAGCAAACACTCCTTTTTTCCCCATGAGACTAATTATACGCTCAGATGCATATATGCATATTAAAGATATTGAAGAAGGATATAATGCATTTGGAGATATAATGCAATTACCAAATGGTTAGCAAAACAATCTATTCCTAAATGGAAAAATTTTACTAAAGTATAATGAGATCATACTTCCATGTGAAAATATCAAAAAAATAATGTGTACTAGTAATTTGCTTTATGATGCAGTTTAATAGGAAAATAACACACACTTAAAAAAATCACAAAGAAGGAAGGAGACAAGCTAATGATGTATACAAGTAACACATCCCATATGGAAAAAATGACACAGTTTTCATAAATTGCTTGCTGCACAAGTCATAAAGCACACCTAGACATTCTGCTCTTTATATTCCTCAGAATAGCTAAAACTTATACTCCATTTGTGCTTTACATTTAGTTTGCCCTTAAATTTCTATGAAAAATTGAAAATGTATTTCTATATTCATAGCATTTGCAGTGAAGCATTACAATTTCTTAGCTACAATGATGCAAATTATTAAGAAGTGGGAATGTATGCATATAAAATATTTAATCACTGTCTGATTACTGTATCTGATGATCTTCCTGGAGTTTTTCAATTTGGACCAAATGGCTCACTTCCCTTTTTCAAAATTATACTGCAGATCAAATTTGTCAGAATCTAATCAGAACAAAACATTCCTTCTCCATCAAGGAGTCAGTGCAACCTATATGTTCATTGCATTTTTACCTTGTTCCTTTCTTGACCTGTTACCTTCTGAGGAAGTTCTGGCATGCCATAAATGTGACAGGAAGAGCTACAATCACGTTTGTTTGGATCTGTGTGCGCAAATTTTGGAATCAAACCTTCAGATGAGGTTTACTAAGCTGCCTGCCCAGAACGCTCTGGTTTTAAAAAATGTGCATTGCTATTAATATTTTGAGTGTAGATTTTTTTTGGACAGTAAATGTTCATTTTCTGCCCATAAAACCAAGTATGAGTCACAATGGAACATTTACTTTGAGTCAAAAATGCAGTGTATGCTGATGTTCAAGAGCAGAGCATCTTATCATTATGACTGTGGAAATCAGCCGTACAAAAAGTCATCACTTTTCTCCTGTTGTTCAAAAGTAAATCTGAGATCAAAGACCGTAATCCTCAATTCATAAATAGTAGCATTAACTTGTACCAAAAAGGACTTGCAGTAATTATGAGCTATAATCTGGGTTGGCTGCGAAGAGGCTCTCATTCCCTCTTTTACCTGATTCCACAGTACATGTGCATAGAAGGAAAATAATTCATAAAAGGCAGTGGGGGAAAGCCCGTCACAGCCTATCCTTCAAAAAATTCCAGGAACACCACAGTGAGTTTGATTTCAGGACGTTTGTTATCTAAATTCCAAGCATATACACCACCACTTATACAGTCCTCAGCTCACAAACTCTATGCAGTATATCCCAAAGTTCATGTCTCAGTATCAGTATACCTATAACTAACTCCAAAAGTCTTGCAGACTTCATTTTGCTTGGAAAGTTGGGGTTAAAGTTCTGAAAGTAGTTTTTTTTTTTTTAAACATGTAAATTATTTCACCTGGAGTTTAAAGGTAAAGATACACACACACACACACACACACACAAACACACACACAGCACCCCAACAGCACCCAGACTAAATGGCAATAACAATGTATTGAAATGAAACGGCATTTACCAGGAGCAGGAAAGCCAGAAAGAGGAGCGGTGTGCCAGGAGTTGCCCGACGGCAGCATTCCATGCTTGGATCCTTGCCGGAATCTGAATCGGACACTGAATAAGCTGCTAAGTGCTCCTCTGCCTGCTGTCACATCCAGTACTGGTGCTAACACTCCAGCCCTGCCTATCAGCTTCCATCAGCCCCGCTCACATTTCCTGACCGAGGGGTGGGTGGGTGGATGGGTGGGGGGTAAGCTGAATGGAATCTCTCTCGGAGCAGGCAGCCAGCCAATCAGGCTCCTGCTAATCAGACATGCTGAATAACAAAGCAGGGGGACAGAGAAAGTGTAACAGTGCAGGCAAAAAAGGGAAAAAGGAGGAAAAAGAAAGGGGAGAGAGCAGCAGAGCGAGAAGAGAAATGCAAAAGATGCAGTATTGCGAAAGATGAAGCAAAGCATTGTGCCTTTAACTAACCTGGTCGGTTCTTTGTGAGATACATTTCTATTTGCCATTTGCCTGCGCAGATGTCTGTTGCTTTGTCAAGTACAGTAGCTCCCTGTGACTGTGTATTGTTCCATTCAGGAGAGAAACTTAATCCCTGTCAATATATAACATATGCCATAAAGGGAAAGGACCATAGACAAGAACTGACTTAATGTGCCCTTTAAACGTGTTCTGTACAACTGCTTTATTCCTCTTCCATAAAGTTGCTCTTTATTTTCCCCCTTGACTTGGAAAAGGAATACGTATGTTTTTGAAAGTTCCTCGCCAAACCTAAACAGTGGCATAAGTTATTTTATGTAGCAAGTACTTGATTGGGGAAAAAAAAGTCAAGTTGCTTCTTTGTAAAGTGTCAATTTAAAATATCCAAGGTTTACTAATTCTAAGGGTATGATTAGAAATTTAGATCCCCTAGTTGAAAAAAAAGCCCTTAACAAAGGCTGCAGGGTGAGTGGGGCTGAAATTTGGGGTTGAGGAACAGCCTGGTTTTGACACTCTGCCAACTCTCAACTATCTGCTTTAGCAGGGGGAAGGAAAGAAAGGATGGATTAAATCCTCAGTTAATCCCCAAACCCTTTAACCAATAGTTTCAGCCTCCTCCTCTCCTCACCACCATCCTGCTATAATGCAGAAAAGAGTGAACTAAGTTGAACCTCCTTTTCCCATTCACTATTGCAAGAGGGTTGGGCGGGATGACCTTCGAGGTCCAGTCCACCCTGGAGGTCTAGTCCAACCCCAAAGGAAGTGCTAATGAGCAGTGAAATGACAACAAGGGCAGCAAAAGCACAGAGAGGTCAGGAAGCTTCTGTGGCTGATCCACCAGCAAGCAAGATTTGACTCCACCAGAGGAGGATTTTATTACAGTTTCAGAGAAGTGTCAAGTGTCAAACAAGAACGTATTTCCCTTTATCTGCTAAGGAAATCATTGAGTTTTGAAAGAATGAAATAGCAAACTTGGCCTTACATTTTCATAGGTGTGTCACCAGGAAGTTTTTCCTTTGCAGATCTCTTGATAGCCCAGAAATATATGCGGTGGAGGCAGAAGGCATTTAGAATTGATGTGTTTTTCTTTCATTATTAAAAAATACTGACAAGAAGTATGAAACACACAAATATTGGATACCTGATCAAGTCTTAATAGGCATGTGAATACAGGCAGGTCTGCCTATATATGTACCTGCAGTTCTGCTTTTCAAAAAGGTAAAGAAAAGCAGATTGTTCAACTTCAGGTTACTTACTTCATATGGTATATCAATTAAAGAGAGAGGGGCTTAAAAAAATCCCATTTCAACCTGTTAGGAAAGTCAGGGACATGCAAGGATTCACCTCTCTCCTTACTACCAAGTACGGGGACCTAGGAAAGGCAATAGTACAAATCCATAACAAAGAGGTTCTATTCTTGAAATTTGCTTCTGTCTCTCAGAAAGATTAGTTTTACAAATCTCTGTAAAACTAGCTAATGCGCATAAGCTGAAGAGCATTCACAAGTAGATATAAAAATGCTTGACTGCTGTTACCTGAAATCCTCATCACGTTAAAAAAAAGTTGATTGACTGAAATAAACTTTCATTCATAAAGTTATGTTATCTCTCTCTCTCTCTCTCTCTCTCTCTTACACATCGGAGTGTTCTGCTAAAGGTTTTCTTTTTTCTCCTATCAGAGTCATTAGCTAAAGGGTTTCAATTAGTTCTATAAAATGGAACAGTTTACCTAGCACTACCTACACCTCTTCACACATAAACATCACTCTTTAGGCAGATCTAAAGGAAAGAACAGGTATGGGAGAAGGAATAGTAGCAACAATGCTGATAATGAGATACCGTTTGCAGAGGAACAGAAAAAAACTGGCCTAGAAAATAACTGCTAGCCCCTCGTACGCTAGTCTAGGTTCCTTTCTGCTTTGGAAATAAATATCGTCTAGGAATTTTGAGTCAGAAATTTCTGCCTTGGAGTTTTGATGGACATGTGAATGTACAACAAGATAGTCCCCTCAATGAAGTCACCAAATAATACAGTATTTTAAAACTAAGTTCTCAACCACTTGCTGAAAGCCTGGAGAATGGCCACCACAGTGTCTCCTGCTTCTGGTCCCTCTGTCTCACAGCATTTTCTTCCCCGTTGGAAAGGCCCAGAGAGACTAGGAGAAGCAGCTGTGTAGCCAAGAGTCACACAGTACAGGGAAAATTCCAAGTTTGCTATTACTTCAGAAAAAGAAGAACAAAATCAAGTGGGGTTAGGGTGATTGGGGCAAGTTTTTGGAATGAGCTAATTTTGATAATTAACAAAGTTTATGAGATATCTTTAAGGTTTTTACAATGATTTTATATCCATAGCCTCATTTGATCTTTATGACCACTTTGTGAAGTTGGTTAAATACTCACCTCATTTTATATATATGCAGAAACTGAGGCTCAGAGAAGTAACTGAGGCCTCATTAGCTAGAACTGGCTCTTGAGCCAGGGTTTTCTGACTCTAAATCCACTCTCGTCTCTTATTCATACACATACATTTACATCTATATATGAATATACAGACACATATTCAGACGTTGGCAGTGACGTGGTTGAAGGCGATGTTTATAGCAAAGGCAAAGGAGCAGAAAGCAGACTACCAGGGTTTACTATGGCTGTGTGTTACCCGACAATGGAAAGTGTCTTATTTTAGTCTACAGCTTCTCTGTCTCTCAACTTTGTCATTTGTAAAATCTTTTTCAGTGCTGAGGAAAAATAACATAAAACCCTAGGTAATCTAGAGCCAGATTAACGGCAGCCTGGGGAAGCCCCTCATGGCATGGGAGCAGGGCGTTGGCTGAGATCCTTCTTTCCTCTTCAGGTATCTAAATTAAACCCGTCTGCAAGCGTCTGAGCGGCAGCACCCGCAGAAGCTGTGGCAGCCGTGATACTGGTTACTGGCTCCATGCACAATATATTAGGTGAAATGAAAGCAGAAGCGAGAGAGAGTGTCAAGGCTGTCTGAAGCATCATTCCAAATGGTATGGATTTAACAATGCTTAATTTAAAAAACACCAGCTTGGCCAGGAGCAAGCTGTTAACATTCGGTGTGCTTTATGGCAGGAAAGAGTGAGCTATACTTTCGGAATTTCTCTCCCTGGGGAGAATGCGTTACAGTTTTTGCTCTGAAGCCACCTGTCCCTTCCTTGAGGTCGAGCCTCTGTGCATGGCCCTTCAGTTGCAGTAACTGGTGTCTAGAGGGCAGAGGCTCTCCTGAAAAGAACTCAGGGGTGGGGGCTTGAAGAGCTGGGGAGGGCCTAATCTCCCCTCTTTAAGGAGGTGGTTATGGCAGCATGGGAGCCTTGTTTTCCTCACAGGGATGTGGTGAACTTGTTTGATTTCCCTGGCTAATTCTAAAAATCAAAGGGAGAATGTGGGAGGGGGAATATAAAACTGCAGGAAGCAGACTTCCATTCTCAGGGGCAGGACTGGAATTTGAGCACAACTCTGTAACTTCCAACTCACCTAGTATACATTTAACACCAAAGCCATTAGAGCATTTATTATGATTTTCAAATCATCTTTCACACATGATCTAATGTGATATGAGCAGAAACTCTATGAGGTAGAGAGTGATTACTATCCTCAATTTGCAGGCGAGGAAACTGCTGTTCTTACAAATAGATGGATTTTTCTGTTACTAGGAGGTAAGAAATTTGGGGCTAAATCTAAGGCCGTTTGACTTTCCCCAGGACCACTATCTGAGAAGCTGACTGCTGACAATAGCTACATTTACTAGAGTCTCCCATGTGTTGGGCACATATTTATTATTTCATGTAATCCTTACAACAATCCTATGGAGTAGGTACATTTATTATCCTCATATGGATAGTATTTATGATGGATTAGCAGTCAATATTCATCCCAACCAATGTCTTCCTGAAATGTAGATACCCAGAAATTACATTTCCCAGATTCCCTTGCAGCTAGGGTACTGTGTGTAATTTAGATTTAGCCACTCCAAAGCATTGCCACATAATTTGGAAGGAGGTGAGGCATGGGCCACGCTTACTCTCTTTCCTCATAAAAATGGCTACAGAGCAATATGGTTTGTCTACAACTCTGCCAATGAGTCACTACCTTGATTGGTGTCAAAAGGCAGGCATGGGGCATGCATTCAATTAGCCAGATCAGAGAAGGTGGGCGTGGCTCTTGCAGCCCTTGCATTTCCATTCCACTTTTCTAATCAGCAGATGGCTTCCTGGTTGTGGAAGAGGGAGTAGCTACGATGGTGATCTGTTCTGCAAAGTAGCATGAGAATCTTCAGAAAGTTCAAATTAGTCTTTCTCTTTGGCAATTCATATTTGTGGTGTGTTATTTAATACATCACTTTTTGCTTCATTTAGCAAGAGTAAATTCTGTTTTCTGTAACAGAATCCTGACTGATACATCTCTTTTAACAGAGGAGAACACTAAGGCATAGGGAATTAAAGAACTTGCCCTGAATCGCACACCCAGAGAGGGAAAGGGCCATGATGTGAACCCAGGCAATCTGTGTTCAAAAATCACTGAGCTGTACTGCTTCTTTGTGGAGCAAAGGGCCACAGGACTTCAGAGAGGTCATTGCTCGTTTGAGTAGTACCCAAATGGAGGAAATGAAAATCGAAGAAAATCTTGAGATGTACAGAGACTTTTGTGGGGTGAAG